ATCATTATTTTTGAAATTAAATTGTAAATAGGAATCAGGTTGGATGGAAGAGCAAGTTTTGTCCATGTGTGAACATGGCCGAAAAATGAATCCTGCCGTTTGATAAGAGCTATGTATGTACTGATTACTTATGTATGAACTTGTCAATAAAACCAACTATTATTATTAATGAACCTCAGATGAGGCCAGCCACTCGTGCTGGCGAAACGTTGGGATGCAGTTCAAAACTACGACGGCCTTCAAACCCGAATGAAGTTGAGGTTATGATAGAGAGATGTCCTCAATTTGCCTTCGTTCCAGGTCACAATAAATTGTTTCCTCCACCAATTAAGATTCTAACATTTTTTTAAATTTTTATACTCGTTCCGAATTTTAAATCAATTTTATTCTGTTTCGACCCAGTCATCTTGATGTTTCGGTCCGGTATTTTTTAGTACTTTCAATAATTTATATGTTGCAGTTATTTTAATTTTATGTGTTCTTCCATAGATTTCAAATATTCACTAAACAATTAGAGTGCTCATTCTCAAAACTCCAGAGAGTGGAACAAGAAGATATCAATTGAAGTGTGTTTGAAATTCGATTTTGAAAGGAAACGTTAAATAGTTTACGTACATCAAACATCATGCTTCTTTCTACCGCATCCACATCAGCGATATTATTGGTAGCAGGTTCTGACCAAGGGGTGTCAAGAGCCAAAGACACCAACCCTAGAAAGAAAAAAGTTTTTCTATAAATTTTTTGTGATTACCGAAAATTAAAACATAACTATTACTTCTGAACTCTTCACAAAGATGTGTATATCATGCATAAAAGTTACTTTCAGACAAAATCGGGAGAAAAAGTCCTTTCGAAACTTGCATATGAACATTGAATTATACAGAAAAGAAGAAATGAACTTTAAACGTTCAAGCCAGTCTCGAATATACCCACACAGTAGGTTGGATTATTTCCTGCATATGCAATTGGCAATACAACTTAAAGAGTCGACCTTCAATTTTGGAACGGGCACACTTGCAGACCGGTTTTGGGCTCATTAGCCACTCATCAGTGCAAGATAGTGGCCATCATCGACCGAAAGAAAATGATATTCCATAATTGACAATCGGAATTCTTTCAGTGTAATTTATTCCTCTTCCTGAGTTGGAACGAACAACAAAATGTCACTCCATCTAGTGGACGAGGTACTAACCAACTGCATACCCGAAATTCGCCCGATTCCTCTGAATAAGGAAGAAAAACGTTCTCATTGGTCAGTGAGCTATGCTTGAAGACTGGCAGTAAACAAATCTAAAGAAATGAACTTTAAATGTTCAAGCCAGTCTCGAATAAGCGTCAGTCCATCCAACCTACTGTGTAGGTATATTCGAGACTGGCTTGAACGTTTGAAGTTAATTTCTTTAGATTTGTTTACTGCCAGTCCACCAGCCCACTGACTAATAAGAAAGAGAAAACACTTTTACTTATTCCGCTTTAACTCCAAACATTCATTATGGAGTTAAATCATAGTATGTAAATTGAAAATATTTTTTATAATATTCATTCAATGGCGGAGCTCTTCTTGGCAGTAAACTGAAATAATAATGATGAAATCATCACGAAGTGACCAAATATTGGGAGTGTTTGACTAGATTTCCACAGTCTAGAACGAATGTACTGAAATGAGTTTGCTCTCAGTGTAGAAATCAGATGTTATGAGACCTTTCTTCTACTTCGTTATCAGTCTCATCGACGTTGTACCGTTTTTGATCTTAAAAAACATTTTATATATTTTCTTACAATCCCCATTAATATTTTATTAAACTACTACTACTATCATTGCATTTCAAGCTACTACCCCAACTACTATTGCATCATTTGTATATTTATATGTACCTTTATGTATATCCTCGACAGGAAGCTTACATGGAACTCTTACCTACAGAGTAGAGCAAAAAGGGTGTATGTGGCTTATGTGCAATGTCGGGGGACAGTGGGACGCGCATGGGGTCTTTCGTCTCGGGTGATTTCACAACATTTTTCATAGATTTTGACATTGAAAAAGAATCATTTCACTATCTGAAGAAAGTTATAGGTCCTTGGGACCTGCCGCAAATGAAATGTGATGTGGAAAGATTCATACGTTTCACTTAATATTACACCTACCTTTCGACTTTTTGAATTCTGTTTTATAGAGATGGTAGGCAGCTGCATGAGCTTTGAGCACAACGTAGGCACATTTATAGTCAGATGTTCCACTTTGTTTAATTCCTGGTGCCATGTTTCCTTTGCCGTAACCACTTCTGCAGACCTGCTTGGGTTCATTGATGGTGATCCAGTATTTAACAGTTTTGAAGCTTTCGAATACCACTCTCGCATATTCCACAAATAAGTCGACAGTTGAAGTATTGGTCCATCCTCCTAAGTCTTGAATAGGTTGGGGAAGATCCCAATGATATAGTGTCACGATTGGTGTCAAATTGTGTTTTTCTACCTCTGAAATCAAATCCTGATAGTACTTGATCCCATCTTCATTTTTTGAGTCCTTGAAGCCGGTAGGAAAAATTCTGGAAGAAATACGAAATATTTCAGAATAGGGTGTCGTTAACGTGAACTAATAATAATAATAATAACATATTATGATTGTCTAGTTTGCGGTTAAACTATCTGAAAACCAAAAGTACGAAGTACTTGTAGGTTTTTGAGTAATTACGTGTCTATTGCTCAAATCTTAGCCCTAAAAGAACCCAGTTCTTGTTACATGAAGTAAAGAGATTAAACAGATGATAATGTAAGCATCAGAGAGTGAGTGAGTAATGCTAGGTCTGCAGCAAATATCTTTCATTGAATATAATATATAATAATAATAATACAAATAATAATATATATTTGACTACGTTACATAATACAATATGTTTGTAGCAAGTAGTGACTTGTATGTTACCACAAAAATGTGTTCTGAAGTCATCGACAGAATAGAAGCAATAGAAGCACAAATAATTTTTCAATTTTCTCTTGTATGTGTTTAGACTGAGTTCTTTGAAATCTTGGGGCAAAATATTGTGGTGAGGGTTTCGTGTGTTATGTTCGTGGATGTGACATTGTTTCGTCAAGGACGGTTTCTTCTTATGGATTTCAATCAAGATGTAATATAGAAATAAAGTTGGCAATGGCATAATTCTGAGTTTTTTGAAATTTTCTTGACAGTGGTCCCTGTATCCAATATTAGCCAGCACTCTCAAAGCCTTCTTTTGCATCCTAAATATTTGAATGGAATGACATGAATTTCCCCAAAGTTGTACCCCATAACTGATATGTGAGTGAAACAGTGAAAAGTATGAGGTTTTTAATATATTTCCACTAGTGATGTACTTCAATTGACGAAGAACAAATAGAGAACCCGAGAGTTTTCTCTTCAGTTGAGAAATATGTACAGACCAGTTAAGTCTATTATCTAATGTAATGCCCAGTAATTTCACTTTATCAGTTTCACAATTAGAGATAATTTGATTATTAGCAGAAATCTGGATGTATTGTGTTTTCTGACAATTTAGTTTCAGCTTATTAGATAGAAACCACTGATTAGCACTATTAGATATCTCGTCGAGATGAGACTGTAACATATTATTATTTTTATCCGACAGAATGAAAGTGGTGTCGTCCGCAAAAAGAACCGATTTGAACGGCAACATATGTTTGCACAAGTCATTCACATAAATGACAAATAAGAGCGGACCCAAAACAGTACCTTGCGGAACGCCATGCTTAATAGTTTGAAATTTTGATAAGGTACCGTTGAGCATCACTGCTTGTTGACGATTAGTAAGATAAGTTCTTATTAAGTGAAGCGGAATACCTCTAACTCCGTAATAGTTTAATTTTTCCAACAGAATTTCATGTGAGACGCAGTTGAACGCTTTCGACAGGTCACAAAGCATCAACGCTGTGTGATTGCCATGCCATGCTACACTCACCCTCCCTACTATACAGATACAGATACAATTGAAATTATAAAACTGCTCGAAAGAGAATATTGAAAAAAACTTCCCCGAAACACAATGGAAAAACCTTACGGCAATGTGCGCATAAACTTTCAAAGATCTTGGCGACACTACCTGTTTCCACATGTACCCCTGAAAGGACTTTCTCTTCTCTAAAACGCCTCAAAACTCATTTAAGAAACTCCACAAGCCAGGAACGACTAAACGGTTTGGCGTTAATGTCAATCCACCGTAGAATTGACATCGACACCGAGTAGGTGATTGATTTGTTTGCTGCAAAAAAAGCTAGAAAACTGAATTAAGTTTCATAAAAAGAGGTTAATATTTCTGTAATGGTTTTCTAATAAATATATATGATCATGTGACACAATTTTTCTTTTTTTATCTTCCTTTTCTTTCGTTTGTTTTTATATTTCATGATTTTCTACTGTTCCACCAAATCAAACCTTCCCCCCAAATTGTTTTCTGGCTACTGCCATGAAAGAATATTCACTTATTCTTTTGTGAAATATCAGTTGAAGAACCCTTGTATGACCATAATAGAAGGAGAAAACATCAAGTTCCATCTGAAGCATATCTAATCACAAGCTTAACTTGTTGCAAAATATTCCTCTATTAATTCAAAGTCAACAACCCATGTTATACTCAATACTCACCGCGACCATGATATCGAAAATCGATAGGTAGTGAGTCCCATTTCAGCAACAAGAGCGACATCTTCTTTGAATTTGTGGTACGAGTCACAGGCGATATCGCCATTGGCTTCTCCAACAATTCTCGATGCATTTTCGTGAACGTATCGATCCCAGATACTCTCCCCCTTTCCAGATTCATTCCAGGCTCCTTCGATTTGATAAGCAGCAGTCGCAACTCCAAACATAAATTCTTTGGGGAAGGTGCTGTTGAGGTAGGCCGACGTTAAGCTGAGAAAAATATATTGAGTTATTGAATATACCTGCGGAGGCGTCGCCAACTTATTACTAAGGAGGAGGGGGAAAATGGGGTAATATTATGGAAAATAAGAAATATAAACGCCTGGTACAGTCGAAAACATGAAGCGTTACATTTGGAAGTCTGCCTCGATGACGATTGTGATAAGAACGGTTTGGATATCAGTGAATAAAAATTCACAAGCCCTCGACTGCACAATAACTGAATCAAACTTCGGAACACAGTAATAAAATTATTTATTTTAACTGAAATAATATGCAATCAAATCAAGAACGAAGTTTTAATGATGAACGAGAACGGGAATGTTTCCTACTTATTCATCAAACTCAAACACCTGTTCATGCAGCTGCAGTTTCGTAAGAAGGTATCATCTTTCCCTCCAACCGATTTCCTGGAGTCTTTGAAGTCCACTAGATAATCGTTAGGACAACAAGAGGATTGTTCCGAATTCCTGGGGTTCTTGTTGAATACTCTTCGTGAGCAAAACAATAGCAAAATCAATACTCCTGACCGCTCTGGACTGAATGATTCCGTACAACCCATCTCGTCTTGTGTTTGTAAATCTTTTGCTGGAAAAATCCTCACTTGTTTACTTTGTGGTAAATGTTCAAGAAGTACCGAAAACTTATGTGAATTTCTGGAACTTCATCTAGCTTTTCCTAATATGACTAATAACCAGTCCGTGCAAAGCTTATTGTTAAATCATCTGAAAATGGAATTTTTAACAGGTGATGCTCGACTGTATTGTCAAACATGCGCCAAACTGACTGACTGTTATAAGGAAACAAATATAGCTGAGGCACCAGTCAATCTAATAATAACACTGATGATTTTCAAACAAGACTCAACCTCTAACGGAAGCAAGAAACTCTTTATAAGGTTCGAAATAGATGAAGATTTCAACCTAGCAGACCACTATTATAATATTCATGCAGTCATTGTTCACTGTGGTTCTGGCGTTGAATTTGGTCATTATTACGCCTTGGTCAAAGAAAAAGCGGACTGGTTTAAGTTTGACGATAGTCGTGTCACGAAGTGTTCTGGCGATGCATTGAATTTATTGGAGCCTCTAGAGACACCGTATATTTTGTTTTATAAGAGAGTAGACATTGTTAGATCAAGATCTTCAGATGATGTGGTGCTGCAGGTTTTTCCGGGGTTTCCTGCAGCTGAAAAAGCAAATTCGCCACTGGAATCAATGAAGTCGCCCCGGAGCGCCAATTAATTTTTATTGTTGTTTTTATTTTATTTTATTTTTATCGTTGTTTTAATAAACATAATTTTAGTCATCAAAACATAACCTGCGGGGATTTTTTGCAAAACTTTCAACCACTTTATCATTAGAACTATTTATGTTTTGATTTATTATAGCTCTGTGTACACTCATCATGGCCAGACCATCATAGTGCGTTTTCAGTCTTCTGAGGCTGCTAAAGGATCGCCCTACTGTACAGGTCATGCGTGGTGAAGCGATCAAAATTTTCAATGCTTTTTTCGTTTCGGGAAAGAAGGAATTTGTTTCTTCTAGGACATCAACAACTGTAAGATTTGTTAGATTAAGCCTATCGTGCCACAATTGCTGCCAATGTTCGATTTCATTCTTTATGTTCGGTAAATCACAAAACTGGGCAATAAATTCACAAGTTTGTTTCAAATTTTCAGTTGTAATCTTTTCCATCTGCGCCCGGTGAAAAAGAATGCACCTACCACGTTCACTGACCTACGCCCTATCAGCATTCTGCCCTCATTCTCTAAAATATTCGAGAAAAATGTTTCCCGTCATATAAGAGCTTTTCTTGAAGAAAATCGAATACTCCCGTACGAGCAGTCTGGGTTTCGCAAAAAACATGGAACACAGACTGCCCTCTTGAAAGTAATCGAAGATCTTGCTAGATTCAGAGATCAATCAAAAGTCACCATTTTAGTACTGCTTGATCAAAGTAAACCTTTCGATTCAGTCAATTTCGATTTACTCATCAGCAAGCTCAACTTCATAGGATTCGATGACATTTCTCTTAAATGGATGACCGGCTATCTCACAGGCCGATCACAGAGGGTCAAACTGGATGATTACGCATGGTCATCCCTAAAAGAAACAATCTCAGGTGTGCCGTAGGGAAGTATTTTAGGACCCTTCATGTTTTCAGTGTTTATTTTTGATTACCCCACTTTCTTATCACATTTTCAAGTACATCTATACGCAGATGATATACAGTTATATTTGTCTTCTCATAACACCGATACAGAAAGTTGCGTGGCCAATTTGAACACAGATTTGCACAAAACATTCCTATACTCGGAGAATCATGGACTGAAAATCAATCCAAATAAAACTTTGGCCTTATGCATAGGGTCTCAAAGACAAATAGTAGAAACTCAGTGTAATTTTACGCTCACTCTCGATAACGCAGACATCGACTGGGTAGACAGTGCTAAAAATCTTGGCGTAACCATAGATAGCTCTTTGTCTTTCCATGAACATGTGACAAACACTTCTGAAGTATCATTCTTCAAACTCAAATCGCTTTATAAATTCAAGTATCAGTTATCAGAAGAAATGAAACTCATATCGAGTATTGTTGTTCGGTGTATTACAATTTTTTGCGGCAATATAACAAACAGAAGTTACAATGTATACAAAATGCTTGCATGCGATTCTTATGCTATATACCATATGGTGAACATGTCACACCATTTTTGTTGAAAATGAAGGTGCTGAATGTGAGGTACAGGGTCCAATATTTGATAAAATTTTTTTGTTTAAGTTGCTTCAAACTAAAACACCTAGCTATTCATATAGTTCATTAAGCAGGCATTCTGACATACATATGGTTAATTTCAGAATTAACTCATTCAACATACCAAGGCACCGTACTTCCAAATTTCAAGGATGTTTTTCTTATATAGCCCCTTCTTATCTGAATGAAACTTTACCCCTTTTGAATCATAATATTCATCAATTCAAGAAAGAAATAAAATCACAGATGCTTACTGCTCAGTGCTAATCTAAAAAATTTAAAATTCAATGTATGGCAGTGCAATGAAATTGCTAAATTGACCAAAATAATGTTAAGAATATTAAGAGTTATCAGCAACTATATGATGTATTATTTTTTTCTCCTCTCTATCATTGTTACGATAGTGAATAAGTATGTTTATAATTATTTTCTTATACTCACTGTATAATTTTTGGGAGGCTAACCCTTTTCGTTTTATGTATAAATGTATTTTTATGCATAATAAACGATATTATTATTATGTATAAGATAATGCAAATAATGGCGTGTTTTCTTCAGCTAAACGTACTTCAAGGGAGGTGATAATTGAATCCAAGTATACCTACCTGAGTATGATATAACTAAAGACCTCTTTCAGTATTCTGAAGGGCTTTCTGCTGAATGGTTGCTTCTATGACGTTGTTTCCCCGTAAAACGCGGCATTGATGTAATGTCCTCCTCTAGTCGTCTGTCACTTTTTCCGCATTTTCACGGTGGTTTTTAATTGAAGTAAAATCTTTATAACGTGTTCCGAGGCTTTGACCACGTCCAAAGCTGTAGATTGTAGTGCGTTGACAACGGGTTCCATCAAATCCGAGTATTTGGCTACCAACCTAATCCCGAGAATGAAAGAAATTCTGGAAGTAGCCGCATGCAGTTGCAAGGCACTTTTCCGAGTTGCACTATTTCCTTCCTGAGATAAGGCTTCCAGAATTGTTGGAAGATTTTCTTCAGAAACCCTGATGGTTTTGTGTTTCTCACTCCATCTTGTCTCGCAAAGTCTGGAAATATTATGTATCAACTTCCTCTTCAAAACTGATTCCCGAAAAAAGTATCTTTAGTGGTTCCCATGGCATTTCTAATTTCAGGAAGTGAATTTAGATCATTGTTCGTAACAATAACTTCTACTTTAGGCATGCCGCATGCAAATTATACAAAACTAACGTGAATGATGGTGAATGGCTGTAGAAAGAAATGCAATGCACACAACACACACACACCGTACCTACTCCTGCCTACATATTTTAACACTGTTTAATGGCAAATCTGATATAGTCGTGATGATAATGGCGGCGATTTTGAAAACGGATGTCAAAATCTTCTATCTGTATCTGTAGAGAAGGGAGGGTGAGTGTACGCCCACGCACTTAGGCCACATGTGACCCATTGTACATCCTCCCGAGGAGTTGTCCTCCTAGGTCATCGTCCATCTTGTCTTTTTCAGGAAGGTGGACAGGTCGCTGGGAGACATCTCCTTTATATCGGCAGGTGTAGGCCAAGACTCGCCGAACACACACTCTGTCATTGACGATAACTCCGGGCACTCGCACAGGACATGCCTGACTGTCTCGTCTTCCTGTTCACACATCCTACATAGAGGTGTGGCCACTAGCCCCATATTATGGAGGTGTTTCCTTAGTTGACAGTGGCCAGTCAGAAATCCTACTGTAAGGCGTAGATTTTTTCTGGTCATCGCCAGATATTTCTTCGGCGCCAGCTTCCCAGTGTCGCCCAAGGTGATCCTAGCAAGATTACATCCTTTGATTTCATCCCATCTCTATAAGGATTGAGAATGCGTGTAACATTTGACTAGTTCCGCAATTGTCGAAGTCATCAGGCCGTGGGTGTCACTGGGTCCTAAAATTCTTAGTCCAGCCGCTTCCTTGGCTAAAGAGTCGGCAATGCGATTACCTTTACTCTTGTCGTGCCCTTTAACCCACCTCAGGATAATGTTATTATCTACCGAGGCTTTGGCTAACTCTTGGTGGCACTCTAATACTAGCCCTGAGGTAACACGTTATCTGTTCAAGGCTAATAGTGCTTGTCTGCTATCAGTGCAAATTGTTATGTTTTTGCCAGAAATTCTTTTCTTAGGTATTTCTTTTGTGGCAATTGAGATACCAGCCAGTTCTGTTTCGACCATGCTGGTATTTCTACCCATTCCCCACTTAATCCTTAGGCTTAGTGATCTGGAGTACACTCCACATCCTGAGCCTTCTTTGGTTTTTGAGCCGTCTGTATAAATCCGTATTGCATTTGTAACATCTGA